GTACCGAGAAGTGTGAAGGGCAAATAAAATCGGAGGTAGGAAGGCTGCAGTCGACGATAGATTATGCACTGATGTCACGTAGGATGTATGATAAGCTCAGGAGAATGCACATAGATGAAGGTGGCTCCAGAAGTCTGGGTAGTGATCACAAACGTATCAAGCTTAGTTTTGAACGAGCAGTGAAAGTGGGAAGGAGACAAGATGAGCAACTACAGGAAAATTTTTACCCAGAAAGGCAAATTGAAATAGCCGCTAAACAAATGGAGAAAGTAATCACGGAGGATAATAAGACAGTGTGGGCATACACGAATCTAATTAGACTGTCTGAGCTAGAGCTTGCTAAGACGCGTGACAAGTCATCCCGGAAAGAGACCCAAACCCAAAAGTTGGTGGGATGAGGAAGTTAAGAGAGCCATAGCAAAACGTCAGGAAGCCTCTAGGGAACACAGACGTGCTAAGCAGCGGGGTGAACCGACCGATGATGTTGAAAGAAAATGGGAAATCTTTCTAAGCTCCAGAAGGTAGGCATCCCTTCTGATCAATGAAAAAATTAGAAGAAAGGGAGCCCAGTAGCTAGCAGAAGTACATAAGAAAGATAGAAAAGCAGCTGCGAAATTTTAGAACCATCTAAACTCCCTAAGAAATGAGACGAGCCTAGAGCAGAGGTTTATAACTACAGCCCTAGAGGCTAGGTTGGAAGGGGACGAAGCTATTAAATATATAAGAACAAGGGTGACAGAAAAAGTTCAACAAAGAAGTGCTTTATGCACCACAATAGACAAGGATGAATAAAGTGGCGCAGTGACTCCAGTTTTACAACGAGAGTGGGAAAGGGCTGAGAAAAGGGTTCCTAGTTGTACATCAACAGGCCCAGATCGTAATCCAATTATGCTGATAGAGACATTATGTCCGAAGTCTAAGCAGGCTTTGAGAGAGGCAGTGAGCAAACTAATAAGCGATGGTGAAGTCTCAATGGATGGAAACTTAGCAGGATGAGCATGATCTATAAAGGAAAGGGGGACAAAGCTGACATAAACAACTACCGTCCAATAACAGTGACTTCAGTGGTCTCTAGGCTGGTAATGCAGATGAAAGTGGGACTCGTGATGAATGTGGTCTCGTATAAAGGAAAGACTGCAGGCATAGATAGAGGATGAGGGCGTGCTGGGGGAACTGCAGAATGGGTTTCGGAAACACATGAGGTTGGAAGACAATCTGTTCTCGTTCTCACTGACGCAGTGGATCGAAATATCAGAAAAGAAACAGAGGCCCCTGTGGCTAGCATTTTTGGAAATTAAGGGAGCGTACGATAGCGTGGTTCAAGAGGAATTGTGAGGAATACTGGACACACTAGGCGTAGAACATGTAGTCACTAATCTTTTAAAGGATATCTTTAGAGGTAACAAAGTAGTTATAAAGTTGGAAAAACAGGTATCCAAGCCTGCAGAGCTCAAACGGGGGCTTAGACAGGGGTGTCCCCTGTCACCCTTATTATTCATAATGTACCTAGAAAGACTAGAGGCCAAATTAGAGGGAAGTGGACTGGGCTTTCACCTTTCCTTCGTCAAACAAGGAACTGTTATTGAACAGGCACTACCAGCATTGATGTATGCAGATGATATAGTGGTAATGGCCGACAAGAAGGAAGATTTGCAGAGATTGGTGGACATCTGCGGTAATGAGGGAGATAGGTTAGATTTCAGATTCAGTAAGGAAAAATCAGCAGTCATGATTTTTAATGACAATGAACGTAGTGAGCTTAGACTAAAGGAGGTCACGCTAGAGATAACAGATAAATACAAGTATCTGGGCGTATGGATAAGCAATGGGGCCGAGTACCTAAGGGAACACGAAATGTACGTGACGACTTAAGGTAACAGGAATGCAGCGGTAATGAAAAACAGGGCACTGTGAAATTACAATAGGTATGATGTTGTCAGAGGAATATGGAAAGGGGTCATGGTTCCTGGTGTGACGTTCAGCAATGTGGTCTCGTGCATGAGATCAGAAGTTCATGCAAGATATGAATTAAGCTACGTGGAATAAGTAGGCTTGCCTTAGGAGCTCACGGGAATACACCAAATCAAGGAGTACAAGGTGATATGGTATGGACATCATTTAAGGTAAGAGAAGCTAGCAGCAAAATAAAGTTTGACAAGCGATTGAGGACAATGGGGGAGGAGCATTGGGCTAGAAAGGTATTCAGCTACTTGTACATGAAGAATGTCGATACAAAATGGAGGAAGCGAACCAGAAAACTGACTGGTAAATACTTAGAAAACAGCAGGAGCCAAACCAAAAAGAATAATCGGTTAAGAAGAAGGTGAAGTAAGCTGAGAGAAATATGTGGAGAATCGGCATGATTAAGAAGTCCGCACTAGAGGTCTATCGAACTTTTAAGCAGGAAATTGCCAAAGAAAGGATCTATGGTAATACTTGGGGCAGTTCTCTACTGTTTGAGGCCAGGACGAAAGTATTGCGAACCAAGACATATCGGGCCAAATACGAAGGGGTAGACACGGTATGCAGTGCGTGTGGAGAGGAAGATGAAACTGCCGAACACTTGATAATGTTCTGTAAAGCGCTTCACCCTATAGTTCAGGATGATCAGAATCAGAATCAGAATCAAATTTTATTGTTACTGTGAAGTAAAGTCAATACAGACAGTATACAGAAGGAGGTCCCGTAGTCAGAGACTGAATTGGGACCTCCTGTGCATGATGAACATAAAAACAAATAAAACATCGACAGGAAGGAAAAAATTCCAATAATCATAATGATATGGGGGATCAAGCACATTTCATAATATAAAGAAACCATGTAAACACGAGATGTAAAGAGAAAAAAGAAAAAAATATGTAAATATATGCACACATATATACACACATACATATATACACACATACATATACACATATATATATACACACTTATATATACACACATACATACATGTGTGAAAGCATGCTTTAGGGGCTATGAGAATGAAGTGCTACGTGTTGTATTGGTTGACAAAGAGCTTTTTTAATTCTTTTACAAACGAGTGTGGATTCATTACTTTTAAGATGGATGGAAGTGAATTCCATATGGAAAGTGAGCTAAAATGAGCGGTTTGTTTGCCATAGTTAGTCCGGGCTTTCGGTAAGATGAAGTTTTTTTGGTAAGCAAATCTAGTGTTGTTGGTATTGAGAAGTGAGGAGGATGGGATGATGGAAATGGGAAATAGCTCATTTATATGCTTTGATAAACATATGACTAGATTATACTTAACCATATCGCGCACTGTAATGATGTTGTAGCTGTAGAATAGTTTTTTTGAATCGGTGTAATGTGAACTAGAAGTGACTATTTAAATTGCTTTGTTTTGAACAGTCTGTAACGGTGCGAGGTGAGTGTTGTAGGTAGTGCCCCAGGTAGTTATACAGTAGTTGATGTGAGAATGAATAAATGCGTAGTATAAAGACAAGAGAATGGAACGTGAAAAAAAAGGGCGAGACCGAATGAGGATGCGTATACCATAAGACAGCTTTTTCTTGACATCTAAAATATGAGAGTGGAATTTTAAGTTTCTATCTAGTTTGACGCCCAAGTAAACACAATCATTACTAGCGTGGATCGAATGATTTGGGATACTAATTGAAGGATCCGTTACTAGTGATCGCTGATGTGATGAAAAGAAAATGAATTGGGTTTTTTGAGGATTGAACTGTAATTTGTTTAGCTTACACCAGTGTAGTATATTGCGAAGATGTGTGCTCAGCTTATTTATTAAACCGTCTATGCTATTATCGGAACTGAAAATTGTCGTATCATCAGCGTAGAGCAAAAATTTACAGTGTATGATAAAATTTGGTAGATCATTGATACAGATTAAAAACAAAAGTGGGCCCAGAATGGACCCTTGTGGTACTCCTATGTTCGTTGTTGTTCGTTTGGAGTAGGTACCGGAAATACTGACCGTTTGGTTTCGATTGAGGAGATAACTGCGAATAAATAACAGAGCAGGACCACATATTCCCATTGCTTACCTACTGAAACGTTCCGCATATACGGATCCGTACATACGCAATTATTGGACTACGGAAAGCCGCATCATGCGGAAAGATGCGAACACCCGCAGGTTACGAAAAGCGCCATATCATGCGAAAAGATGCGGACATCCGCAGCTTACAGAAAGCGCCATATCATGCAGAAAGATGCGGACATCCGCAGCTTACGGAAAGTGCCATATCATGCTAAATTACCCGATAAGCAGCTTACGGAAATCAGCATAATGCAGAAACCATGCAGCTATCTGCTGCATCTTGCAAAGATCAAATGGACATCTAGATTTTGAGTAAAAGCAATTGGCCGTTCACGTTGTTTGCAAAAGCAAGTACTGTGTAGAAATATATATGAATATTTCATTCTTAATAAGTTGCATGAAGGTGAAATATGTTTGCTATCTGAAACAGCCTTCATGAGTAAACAAAGGCTTGAAATAAACAAATGTGTTAAGAACCTACCTAATTAATATGCTGGACATCACAAGCTGCCTTCATACTCCAACAAAATAATGCAGGGTTTTATGTAATAGAAAAAATGCCAGCTAAATCTCCCTATAGCTGCTTAGGATGGCATAATAAATGTAGCTTCTGTTAGAACTAAATGAAATCAGTCCTTGCCCAAGAAAAGCGTTTACATGCACTTCACTAGCAGCCTTGCTGCAAGGACTAAATCTTTTTTATTTTCTGTGTATCCTAGCTGTGATATCAGTTTGCATGCATACCTCAATGTTGACTTCAAATAACATGACCTTGCACCACCACTTCACGAGTGATAGCTCACCCACAAAAAGATGGGGCAAAATAATGTGCAACAACAATTTAAAAATGAACAATTTATAAAAAACAGTTTTCTTGCTCGTACGGTTGCTGCTTTGATGTGACCTGTAGTGTCAGGTGGCGACCGCTGCGACTGGCTTGCCAGGAAAAGGAGAGGATACCCCCCCCCCCCCGCATGCTTCTTCCAGCTCATTTCTTGAGAACTTTCAATAAATCTGCCAGATGCCGGTTCATGTTCCGGCGACGCTGAGCAACTGGTAGCTGGCTTTCATGCACCTTCAGGTGTTCCTCGTATGCATCTGAATACATAAATTATAGACAGATATGAGTCAGAAGCACATTTAGGCAGCTTAATAATGCAGAAAAATGAAACATACAGAATGACACTGAAAAAGAAATGCCCATATTATTTTTTGTATATACATCAATAACAATGGAAAGTGCGTGAATGAGCACCATTGTAAGTAAGAACATGTAAATTACGTGCTTATCTCATAAAAAATAACTAAGTACGTCTTTCTTACTAAATTGAACAGGATGATAAACCTATAGTGAAATCACATTATGTGAAATCTTGAATTAAATATTCAAATATTTCTTGGATACTAACTAAAATTAAAGTATTGCCATTAAAAGTCCGCACTCAGAATATATATATATATATATATATATATATATATATATATATATATATATATATATAATATTATATATATATATATATATATATATATATATATATATATATATATATATATATATATAAGCACATTTACTTCCCTTAAACTTTGGTTTGTCTGCAATATTACTACTTGAACACCTTTTCAGCACAAAACACTGCAAGTTATGAATCTGAGAGATATAAACACACGTAGACAGGATCGCGCATTCGTCATTAAAATACGTGCCACCCAGACCACAACAGCCCACCAAATAGAATACGCATGAGCAAACAGCAAGTTTTAAACCTAATAAAATCATGTTATAAAAAATTGAATAACACTTTGCACTGTGCAGCATTCCTTGCAAAAGCATGACACTAGTATTCATTGCCATATTGAAGACATAATGAAAAGTAAATTGTAATTCAGCTGGATGAGTATGTTAACCTATGTGATTTCCCCTACACAAAATTAAATTTTACTATTTAATCTCTGGCAAAAGAAAATCGAAATCGTCGCACTGTTTGAGACTTAAAAAACCAAAAAGTACTAGCACTCATCAACGTTGATGATGTATATTCATTCAAAAAACAGACTAAATAAATATTCAATCACTTATCCACTAACTCCAAACACTCTTCGAAAGGGAAATTGCTTGGACATGTTAGTTGTTCATCGTTCTTCACAAAACAGGGTGCAAGTAAGAACAGAGGCACGAGAAGAGACCAGGGTGAGCAATCGTCTTGGTTTCTTTCTTGTCCCCTGTTCTTATTTGTGCTGTTTTATGAAGGTCCTAACACACTCTAGAAACTATGTAATCGAGGCTGATATGACACCATAGTGACTACCTTGATGTACTTCAAGCAAGGAAAGGTTATGAGAGGAAGTTTTAATATTATTTTAATATTATTACTTCAACAGCACATTGAGTGAATATACAGAAGCCAACACTTTATTGACAGTGAAAAATTCGAAGAAGCTTGTTTAGTTCAACTCATGGGCAGCAACAGTATTTATTCATCCTGTTTATATAATGTAGAACCATGACCAAAAGTCATTAGTCATGGTGCCCATGAGTTCCCTTTGATTTTGCCCTCAATGGCTGCCAGATCAAATGTGATATATGTAATATAAGTGTATTGTGTAGTGATCTGAGTCAGTGATGTCTGCATTTTACCAGTCTTCCAAAACTGCAAGGTTGTACTGGCAAGAACTGAATAGCTGGTGTCACAATCCATGCATAGCAATATTTTTAAGGTGAACATATTCAACAGAGTCTGGCTGGGTGAAAATCAATAAAAATAAAATAAACTTTCCAGCCGCTTGTAGTCCAATGTATTTACACTTCAAATTTGAAAACTATAAACTGATCCATTGTTTCAGGACCATTTCCTCTCCTTCTTCTGGGGTGACTGCTTGACAGGCTCATAAACGAGAATGGACAATATCAAATGCCATGCTTTTGTTGGCTCCACATAATGTTTCGTTTTATATTTTGATTTAGCTATATCAGACTGCAATGCCAAATCCAAAGGCCAAGCCTAGTTAATCGAGTGCTTTTTCTTAGCAGAGTTGTTCATACGCTAGGTATGATCAATTGCAACATATTCAAGTTTTTGACTACATATACTTCTTCAAGATTGAGTTAAAACCCCAGGTCGTTTTTATGACTATTGCATAACCACAAATGAGTTCTCACTGACCGACGAGATTTTCCACATTAATATTTCCCTGCTACTTAAATATTTTTTCAGGTAAATTACTGAAAATTATGTTGATGGTTTCAAGTGCGAGGTGCATGGTTGGTACATTCCTCATTTTAATGCTTGTAAGGATTACCTCAAACTGTACAAACTTGATGATACTCCTACGAAAAAGAGATAATAAATTTAGCTCTGGTACTTGTAATGTACTGGCTACCATAGGCAGTGCAAACAGTTACCATATATACAAAATAAAAGGCTTACTTCTCAGGGCATCCAGCTTCCTAGGCGTCAACGCTTGTTTTTCTACGCTTGGTGGCCCACCATCCTCCTTGTGAAGAAAGCGGCGACATGGGGTGCCCGTGATGCTCCTATTGTAGAGATTTTGGATCCCCCATATCGCCTTGGCTGTGTCCCTCACCAAAAGGGTATCTTTTGGCTGCGCCATCAGGAAGAGCCACTTTTCTTTGGAGATTTTGACTCCATTCCCAAGATCTTTCTGCATAAAAGAATACATAATGACTTAATGTAGATCATTCATGGATAATGAAAGCAATTTTTAATAAATGTCTTAATGCAAGTTTATATAAATTTTTGTTTATAAATCTTGACTTCTCAATTGTTAAAGAACCATTTTTGACAAAGTAACATAAAAAATTTAAGTTGGATGTAATTTCGATGACAACCAGGAAATTCCTCAGTTGAAAACTTTACCGTAAACATACATGCACGCTGATAATGTAGTGTCATCATCACTCAGCGTGAGGCACACACCCAGACCTTATCTGAAGCAATCTTCAGACCTTGAGTACTTCCCCAATTCAACCTTTGCACCTATGGTCCCACTACACATGTGCAACTGAATAATATTTTTTTCTTTCCATATAATTCTCCCAGCTGCTTCTTAGTTCAGAGGAATGCTTTTTTACTGTATCGAGAGATAGCATATGTGATGCAATGCATGACAGTACACATCAGTACATGCAGTTCCTAGCTGAACATAGCTGCAGGTGACTGTTTTTCTGGCTTGCTTTTTTCTATTTCTTCTATCATGCTTCAGCATGTACCATAATTTTTGTTTGTTCATCAGACTGGATGTAACTTGAACTTTTTCATCCTCAACATCTCTAAAGCTTTCACCACCCGTGCATTGCTTTCTGTCAGGCAGAATATACATTTCTACGCAATTTGTGTTTTTCCAAGCCTTTGTTTTCACTTAGACTTGGTTATTCATTTGAAAAAAACGCCTTAAATTTGTCATTGAGCTCTTGGCCTCATAAATAAAAAACCCTTTTAAGATTTTGAGATGCTCCTCAAGTTCTTTTGCTGTAAAAAATAAAAAAACTCCATCATACTGCAAACTGCAACACATTTGAGAACACAGGGAAAAGCTGGACTTCCTAGTCCCGAGTGCCACAAATGTGTATGCAAGCCTGAGTTGCACACAAGGTTGTCAATAATTAATGGCACAAAAATATTACAAACTAGTATTGTTAAGTAGACTACACAAAAAGGAATAGAGGTATTCTTATTATAACAAGATATTACACATAAAAGAGAACCATGAAAAGGCTAAGTAAACATCGTCTTTGGTGGCTGCACGTGATCTTCATTTCTACAATGAAAGCAGCACTCAAGTGCTGTACCAATGGTGCCACCAACCAAGTGAGCCTCAGTAAAAGCTGGCACTTTCACCTTTGTGGCAGCTAGGGATCAAGAGTGCCTGAGTGAAATTTCGGGGTAGAAAAAATTGAAACAAAACTGCCATCAACGTGGCACATGGGATACAAAGGGTCAAACATATTACTGTAAAAACTCACATATAGTCCGAAGTTTTTCTCAAACTTCATGATGCAACATTTCTGCTCCATACTATATATGCTGATTTGAAAATTTTCTTGCCAGAATTCAGTTTTGGTTTTGACACTGTGCAGTGCTATCATCATCACCAAGCTTATGCAACAGGTACTGTTGCAATCACATCATGATGCCCAAAATTTTAAACCATATAAAAAGACTGCAAAAAGCAGCATTCAGCTGCATTTAAAGCATTTTTTACGCTGAGTGGGTACTGGCAGACTTGAATCAGAAGCATGGAGCACTGCCGGGATTCTCATCTACATTTGTGCTCGGACGTCTATTGGTGTCACTACCAAGAAGTGACTGCTGTGTGACTACTGCTGCGGGTCATCACCCAGGGGAGTTTGCATCTCAGCTGCACCCAGTGTGCAGCTAAGCAGAGGAGTTCAGTCCTCGCATCATTTCAGGTTAGATGGCAGTGATTCAATATGCATTCAGAAATGGGGGAAAAATGAAGGGGAAGAACACACAAAGTAGGAACAGTGTGCTGCAAAGCGATGTCCACTACAGACATGAAAAAAGCAAAAAGCAGGAAAGTTCGAAGCCTGCAGACGGTTGCCATGTCCTGCCAACACAAAAAGTTGCCGGTGATAGCAGCGTACCTACTTTGCGCATTTCTCTTCTTGTTTTTTTTTTCGTCCTCCCCCCTTTTTTTCCCCACCCTCCGAGAACATTTTGAACCACTACCGTCTAACTTGAAATGAAGCAAGGACTGCACTCCTTTCCTTTATAGTTTTTTATTTTGAAACGGCGATTATGAACCGGGACATGCGCCTCCACCAGATGACGTCACTACAAACCCCCTTAAAATTAACACGCCAAGATGACAAAGATAGGTCCTCCTATCAAAATGTCGGCCAGCCTGTCTGAGACACTTACACTGTTCACTTCGATTATCCCACTACATGTTTCCATCTGTTGGCTCCTACCTTGACTTTGAGAACTGCAGCAAACGAAAGAAATAATGGCAGAGATGGCACCTAGACGGGCAGGTCGGATGCGCAGGAGACGGCCAGTTTTGAAATGCTAATGGCAATGCAACAAGCAGGCTTTTTCTTGTTCTGCTCAATTTTAGCGCGGATGCACGTTGTAGACACTGTTTACCATAAATAGAAGGTGCACATTAGACTTCAGTAAATATGATAAGTGCATAAATCAGTGTATTCAGTTTCTGCTTTCCTTGGCTTATACACAGGTAAAATGTTTTTGCGTTAGGTGTCCCCAAAATGCACCTCAGACTTTATGCGCATCCGACCTGTGGGTTTTACAGCAATATGTACCCTTGTAACACCAAGTCATGTGTCCCTATAAAGGGACACATGACTGTGTCCCCCTTCATAAAAAATGGCTTGATGTCCCGACCGCTTTTACGTTTGTGCACACAGGGCCAGCAAGTGGCACATGGGAAACAATGTTACTTGTCATAAGTTGCTGTGTCATTAAAATGTTTGTATACAGGGACATGACCAAATGCATTGTTAGTATTGCTTCTGTTCTTAACGCAGAAAGACACTGGAGGGATAAAAAAGTAGAAATGAAAAACTCTAGAATATATTGTTGGGCTAGCTGATTCATTCTGAAGAAAGGAGATGAAGGACGCAACCCACACAGATGACAAAAAAAAAAGGCTACAGAAACAACATCCTGTCCAGCCCCCCACCCCCCTCACTTTTTTTTGATATACATGGGTTGCACCTTTCACCTTTCTTCAGAAGGTAAATGCAGAATGCCATGTGATGACGATTTTCACCTTAGCCAGAGCACCAGTTATGGGAACTCGCTGCTAACTTGCTTGCAAAATTCTACAACAGTTACGCAGTCTCAAACCGTTTATTCGGCCAAACACTGGTTGAAATACATGCAGACTTGGTGGTGCATAGGCATGCATCTACAGACTAGTATTGATTAGTTTTTCAGCTACAAGGCCAATAAAGGTGCTGTTTTTGTAGGAACCTCCCCCCCCCCCCTGTTTTTTTTACACTCAAGTATTCGAACTTCACACCCATTCACACCAAGTCCATATAGACGGTCAGCAACTGTACTACCGGTGCACCTGCACAGTACTGGGCATTTGTACACACAAGATTTCTGTGCAATGAAAACAGGAGCGAAAAAAAGATGACAGTAAGTCCACCTTCATAAGTGATCATGTTATTAGTGGTGTGTGGCGTATACCAGGCAATTATGAATGTTTTACAGGGAACCTTACCTGGGTAGTCTCAGCTTCGGAACAGTGCTGAGCTCCTTGTGGCATCACTGGCATCAGAGCTGGTAGTGGTGGTGTCTGCTGCGCATCTACTAACAGCACTGCTGGTGGTGGTAGCGGTGGTGTTGCTGCTGCTACTGCTGGTGCTACTGGAGGTGGCACTGGTGTTGCAGCATGTGGTGCCTTTATTTGAAGTAAATATTCGAGATGTTAGCACTTTCAGTGATTCAACTAACACACAAATATCTCAACATCTAAGAACAAAGTAACTCTACGTGTCAAAAATGCCTTCATTTTATTGCAAAACTTTGCTATACAGGATTCCGACATTTCAGTACTGCTAATTAAGTGTGAAATTATAAGAGCATGGATGTGTATTGAAATCTTTGCAATATGTATTTCATGGGGAGACAGAAATTTAAGTAAGACGTATTATTGCGAAAATCACATTAACCAAAGAGACTAACAACAGGAGAAAAATATGCATACTGGGTCAGAACTGATGCCTATTGGGCAGTACTAAACAAAAAGCACCAGCTCATGCCAGCAGTATAGTGCAATTCCTTTTGCTCCTGGCCGTCATTTTAAAATAAACGTAACATCAGTAACAGTTTACGATGCAGCACGTCATTTGTCCCACTTTACACCAGTAGTATTTCACCATCACTATCGGCGAAAAGATAATTAAGTAAGCTATTCAACAAGGATGGTGAATAAGACTAATTCTCAGCAATTTATACCATATTTCTATAGAAGTTAGAGAGTTGCGCAAGTTGGTACTTGCATGATGCATAAAAAGAACATGGAACAAGATAAACAAGTAGACAGAACAAAAGTACCAAACACATGAAGAAAAATCTTGTGATAGGTACTATAAAGAATTGCCATTTCTTTTCATCAAAGTGCTCGCAAATTTTTTTCCTTATGTGCGTTTGGGGTGTATATTATTGGCAGACTACTAGCGCCTGCACGAGGTGCACGTGCCCTGTTATGAGTAAAAGAAGATGGCACTCTGTAGAAAGAAGGATACACGCGATTTGCTTATGTGCCGTTTGAGTATAAGCCTGTGTGGCATGTGAATTCTTCTGTGAGAGTAAATCCATTTTTTATTGCGACGTCTCATGTGAATTAAAAACACCGCAATGACAACAATCTGTATTGCATATTTTCTGATGTTAAGTTTAGTTGAGTCAGTACTTATCTTATTTTTCTTTTGTTAAAGCTTAACAATGCCCTGACAGGATGCCTGTTCAACGAGCCATATTCTTGCACAACTTGTCGTGCAACTAACTAACTAACTTGTCGTGCAATTTGGGAGTGCCTGCAGCAATGACATATTAGCACAATGGCAGGAAAACTATCGCTCAAAACCCTAGAGCTATGTTATAGTCTCATGAAATCTCATAAAAATAAGTGCTCCTACTATGGACATAATTATCCACTAACACTGCTCCAGAATGAGTTCACTTCTAACGACCATTGATGCATACCGTATATTGAAGGCTGTCAACCACGTCATCTCCAGCAGCATGGCGGTCCTCCTCCCTTGGCCCACAAAACCCCTGTGCAATTGCCTCTGGCACCTAAAATAAGACATTGCAAGTTTAAAGGGACACTAAAGGGCAAGATGACTTTTCTCACCCCATAAGTAAAGTAGCCTTCGACGATACCAAAACACCACACTTGCAGGGAGAATACACTTAATAAGCGAGAAAACCCGCAAGAAAAATACAGGTGACAACGCCACCTTACAGTTTCCAGACCATTTGCTGTGACATCACAAATTTTGAGGGCTCCTACTAAGGTCCACGTGGTTTCTAATTGAAGAAAATTCAGTAAATTGTCATCAGAGGATGGCACAGACCTAACACATTAAGGTTGAGGAAATCGCATTTAGACAGTGGAACCTAAATACAATAAATACACTTTAAAATCTTTGACATCACACACGCAGACTTCGGCACAAAATTTAAAAATGAAAATCTGAAACATGAACATGAACATTTTTTTCTTTAGTAACAAACCAATGGTAGTGAAATAATTGACAATAAAGTTCTCAGAGTACAACTTATCAATCTAAACCAATTCACTGTTTTCTCGTACGTCCCATCAAAGGAGTACAGCAAAATTTTACATACTGTTAATTTCAATAAAATAAGCAGCTATCGACCCAATCATTAGGTTACAAATGTTACTTTACAGCAAGATAATTGGCCTGTTATTTTCGGAGACTATTTTATTGCACGAAGTTGTAGTAGAGGTACAGAAAGAACATGTAGAGGTGCGGGGCTGGAGTGGTTTCTTTGTAAACCAAGATGGCTAAATTGAAGGAATACTGTGACCCAAATTAAGCATGCAGTTTTCACCCCTTTTTCTCCAACTGTGGAATGCACTGTCGTTACATAAGTGGCAACCACAGAAACAATGCTATTATGATTTATTTTATTATTAAACTTTGTTTTTGGAACACAGTGGCACAGAGCAGCTATTTTTATGATTAGAAGCAAAGCTTCATTATGTGGGAGTGAGGAAATTGACTGTGCATTTTGAATTGTTTGACACGGTAAGTCTAACGTAATATTTTAATACCACACATAGGCCACACACTTGTGCATTAAAAATAAAAAATATGCTTTATCTTTCCTCAAAAACACAAGAACCTATATAATTTTTTTAATATGACAACTTTAAAACAATTACACACTCACACTGGGAGCGCTGCACAAGGGCCACCATGCGGCGATTCTTATAGTAACTCACTAAAAAACACACGGTGCTTGTAACCAGTTTACGTTAGTGGGAGAGTGAAATGTAACAGAGTACATCTTTTCTTATCAGTTGGGGTTTTAGAGTTTAAAGGCTAATTTCTGTTACCGGGCCTCTATTTAAATAATTATTTTTGCATTCATTTCAGTATTCAGCATTACATGCACTTCAGCACAGCAGATGGAAAAGCATTGCAGGGCCTTTTAACATGCAAGACTGTAATGCCCTGTTTACGTTTAGCCTCACGTGCACATGTGCACGCAGTTGACAACAGAGGGGGAAAACAAACGTGAAGCAAGGCAGGTACCAAACTAGTGATGTCATAGTTCGTTAGTTGTACACATTCCTATATATTTGATGGCAATGTCACAAGTTTCTTCATTGTACTTCAGCATAGTTGTGTGCGATTGCACATCACACACTTTAAAACTATGTTCAAGTTTGTTCCTGGCTGTATTACCCATTGATGTTTCATGGAAACGGCATGAGTTCACATAAATCTAGTCCCTAGTTATCTCGTCTTGAATATTTTCAGTCAGTACTCCTGTAAGTGTCAAGGAGATTATGAGGACAGGGCCTGCATGAATTTAGTGCAATATCTTTCTTGCAATTAAATGAAAATCAGTGGGTGAAGAAGCACACTTTGAAAACATTTTCATGAACATCTACTTTCCTATAGCTCGAAGCTGCTTTCCCACACAAAGAATGCCCTGTCCAACCAGCTCAACACAGAACTCATGCACTTTTCAATGACCTCGAACACCATTTTAAAATAACTAACGTGCACATGCCTTCTGCTGCTCGACTGGTACAGTTGAAGCATGCTTTCTTCAGCAATTTTTCTGCATCGATAGGGGGTAAATGGAAACACGATATATAGCAGGGTGAGCACAGATTTGAAAGTAGAGAATCCAAAGATAGTCAAGAAGTTTCAAGGCAGTTTCAACCCATGAAACACTGCATCTAACGAGAAATTTTTGTATGAATATGATGTTTCAAACTCTGACTAAATTTATCGCACTTCTACACAACCAGTTGAAACTGAAAATCACAATTAAATCACTTTGCTAAATGAAACGGTTTGTAAAATTGACACCTGGAATTGTGAAATTGAGGTACTTTAAGTCTTCTATGACTGTTTTTTTTTGCTAACCCATGAGTGCTTCTGTGAATAGCTAGTTTTTGTGCACAAAAACTTAAACCTCATATATTTGGTCCAGGTGATTACAGACCAGGTAGGCAGTAACATAGAATGTGATGCAGCCAAAATGCAACCATGAACAGAATGAATGCAGCAATTTTGCAACCAGGAATAACAAAAAAGTTGCGTGGAGACAACTCCCATCGCATGAAAAACAAATACAGATGGCCATGTTCATGCGAAAGCATTGACAAGAATAAATCGCTGCCACCTGCATACTACCTGATACGTGAAAACAACAGGTTGATTGAACTGTTTCATGCTTGTTGAACGAATGTAGCTTTGTGAAAACAAGACCAAGCTAGTGACTACGGGTGACAAATGTTTTAACACAATAGCATTAGTGCCAGCGTCTCTCATAATCATATGGTGGTTTTAGGACGTTAAACGCCACATATTTATCAGCGTTAGTACCAACACTTGAAGAAAAAAGCATCTTGAAAAAGAAAATTGAAGTGTTCAGTGCCTCTTTAATTATCTCCTTCATAAAAACTTCTTTTAATCTATTTTGGTAGTCAACTTGAACCTTCTGAGTACCTACCAGAGGGTGTTAGGTTTTACCTTAGATTAAAAACAACAAAAACTTTTGCTGTGTTTGAACAAGCTTTAGCTATCACTACACCATAGAAAAGTCCAATGCTGATGTCATCATAAGCAGTGCCCCAACACACAACAGGTCAGGACAGGTGCTAAGAATTTTCCTAGTATTAGCAAGTCTTGGCATTTAAAAAGCATATTAACTACATGAACTACTCACTTGACCGAGAAAAAAGCGAGAAAGAGCAACCTAAATGCAAGAGGCAAAAGTGAACTCATTAAAAGATGATAGTAAAAGAGAGAAAGCGAGATGAGGTGGCATGAGGGTTGAGGATTGAAATGGACATTAGGACAGAGCATGAACAAGCAGAAAATATGCAAACTTGCACTGTGTATTATTTTCGAAATGGACAGTTTGCTGCACTAATGCAAATGTATAACAGAAAGAAGAGAAGGTTGTACTGTCAATTTATATTAAATAGCCATGGCCCCGAAGTTCAAGGTGTTTTCAGAGAGAGCATTCTATCCCAACACGTCCAAAGAGCTTGAAAGTCCTCGATGAATGGATGGATGGATGGATGGATGGAAGAATGAAGTTATTCATTTATCCATCTATCGAAACAAGGGTACTGAAAGTGCACTTTTCAAAGTCAAGCATTTTCAAGGTTTTCAAGGACCTCTATGAACCCAACATGCAGTGCTTACCCATTCCTTTGACCACAACGTCTTGCAAATCTTGATTTCTTTTTCGTTCTTCCACTAACTTCTTTCTAAGGGAAATAATCTCCTGCTCTAATCGAGCATACTTCCCATTTTTTTTTCCGGCTCATGCCTAGCTTCATCATCTGCAGGCCAATCCATTGACATAGTCTCCATTTCTTTCCGCTTTGCCACCTCCTTTCTTTTCTTTCTTTCTTTTTGGCTCAATTCTTCCTGCGAACAACACTGCATGAATACTTTGCATGGCTGCAGAGTACTGCCTTGACATGCACGGATCCTTTGATTACCACTGATAATGAATTTGCTGAAAAAAAATTTCATTCTTCAACACATAATAAGCAATAATTGCAATATTACATATAAGTAATTATTGGTAATGTTTCCAGTGTCTTGTAAGGAATTACATATATATAAACTTTTTTAGCATTTGCCAGAGAGTGAGCAAGCATGTCTTGGAATCCCACAGTCGCAGCTGTCCCTATATGCATTATTGAGTCTAAAATCGGCCAATGATCAAAAACCTTGGGCGTGGTCATTATGGTTTACGGCATCACTATGAGAGAACAGTAAGCAAGTTCAAGCTGACTTTGATGAATAATTGCAAGATTCAGGTGACATGCTGAGCTAGAATGAATGGCTCACATGTTCTCAGGAGCTTCAACTACAGATTCGCAGCATTTTCTCGCCACGCTCAAAAATTGTTGTGCTACCCTTTCAATAGACTTAGAAAGAAAGGATTATTGAGACATTTGTCAGGATAAATTATCAGAGATGCTTCACAGGTAAAGTTTAGTTACCTCACAAGGGGAAACCCCAAGAACGTCGTCAAATACGTGATGTGGCCATCGTAGACGACGCTTCTGCACTTTTCGTGCAAGTTCCTGCTTGGATTCTGTAACAACAACACCACAACAAGGCTACTCAGAGAAAGTGATATTAGTTGCAGTAGGCAAAGGAATGCACAATAATGCAATATTGCTGATGCACAAGTGATAAAAAGTCTGCATATATGTATATATAATTAAGACATGCAAAGTTTTATTGACAAAGAAACATGGGCACTTTTAAAATAAATGGTGACTGCCAGCTATGCAGCTAAGTAGTAAAATTATTGACTTGTTATTGGACAAGAATAATTTCATATTGGCAGCTGGCTGCTAGACAGACATCCTAACTTTTAAGAATCTACAGACACTAAAAGTGGACGACGTGATACAATAAAGAAGCCAAAGGGCTATTACTGTACCAAGTATATTATCACCTACGCCTCATTAGTTGTGACCTAGTTGCCAAGGTAACAATTGTGAATCATGACCAAGGCAAGGGGGTGATTGCCCGCAGAATAGTGACGTAAAGTTTTGCACATGTTGTACTTAATGCATACCTTTTTGTCAAGACATCTGTGCTTTATTTGCAATGATGCAGGTTCATAAGCGCAGTGTAAGAAGATTTGCTACTGCACTGGTAAGTAAGCAATGCACTTAGTTCACATGTGAACTTGTTGCTGTAGCCTGTTTCAAGAGGGTATCTGAATAATATTGCTAAAAGCAGTCCTCTCTTCAGTGAAGATATCACAATTTTTCTTTCTTGTCCGTATTTGTTACAGAAGTTCTACTCAATCCAAGACATATGTAGCATAAAAATGTAAAAGACTGAAGTTCTTTCTGATGTGCTGCTTCAGCTGATTCAATGCCACTGCTCTCATTGGCTAAACAGGCATAGCATTGTCGAGTGAGAGAACTCTTTGGTTTAGCCTGGCTTCAACACCCGTTCATAAATGCACTTATGTTTGATGCATTTAATTAAATTGATGTCGCAGCGACTCAAAGTGATAGCTCACTGCAACACAATTTACAAACACAGCACCATTCAAGGCATCAAAGGCAGCATTATAATCATGTTACGGAAACTTTCTTGAAGCAACAAGGCACACTTAGAGCTGAGCTGCACTCTAGGAATGCGAGATACGATGACCCAATGGGTGAAATAATGCTTCTATACAGAAATCTAAAATTGAATAGAAACGCGAGAGCACCCACGACAACAGGATAAAAATGTAACGACGTTTCGGCATCCAGAGAGGGTGCCTTTGCATTGGGAAGAAGGCTCCCTTTCTGGGTGACGAAACGTCGGTACATTTTTGTTTTGTTGTGGTCGGCGCCCTAGCCTTTTTATTCAATTATTCTCGACTAGACGGCCATTTATCGTACCCTTAAGTTCCAAAATCTAAAACTCATCAACACATCTGAGAAAAAGCCAAGGAAATAATCTTAGTGCTTTCTTCAGCGAGCACAGTGGCACAACAATATATGTATGTGCAATTTGCCTACGTCTACAGTGCACAGATATACGCAAGCTTTCAGTGTTATATGAACCACCTTAATTTTTTTTTCTGCCACAGTCAAACGTTTTGCATATGCGTAAGGTATTAGCGTAACGACAAAAAAAATCAGCGAGATCAACTGGCGCCATACAAATTTACTTATAATCGGTTACTGTCCGCCGATGGTAC